CGCGGGTGCAGGCGCCCCCGCCGGCGGCGCCCCCGCCGCGTTTGGCGCGCCCGGGCGCGTCAACCTCATGGCGCCCGCCGCCGCCGGCCCTGCCGCCGCCAAGGTGCGGGCGGTGCGCAACAGCAACAAGCACAAGCGGCTGTTTGTGCCCGGCGAGTCAGGCGGCCTGCAGGACGGCACCAAGCTGCTCTACAAGTCCACCGCCAGCGGCGAGGGCCCCACCCTTCTGGAGGGCGTCGCCATCATTAACCCCAACGGCGCGTGCGGCATCATGTGCGGCTGCTGCCAGAAGATCGTCTCGTGCTCGGCCTTTGAGGCCCACGCGGGTGCGAGGCGCGGGGCCCCGCAGGCGAACGAGGGAGGGGGCTCGCTACCCGCTTGGGCGCGGTACGAGGCGGCGGGTCGCGGCTGTGAGGCGCGCTGCACGCTCATATTGCACCCGCGTCGCACGTCAATACACGCCCTTGAGCCGCAAACTCCCACTTCGTCCCAAACCCCTATCCCCGCCCCTAGGCCGCGGCCAGCGCCGCGCGCCCTACGACTTCATCTTCACCCCCGAGGGCATCAACCTCCGCCGCATGGCCGAGCGCCTCTCGCCGCTGCCCGAGGAGGACGCGGCGGGTGGCGGCGGCGGCGCGACAACGCTGACGTTCTCTTACGGCGCGCGGCGCGCGTACTACGGCACGCGCGGCCGCGGGCGCGGGCGCGGCGGCGCGGGGCGGTGGGAGGGCTACGAGGAGGACGAGCTGCCGCTGTGAGCGCCCGGGCGGAGGCCTCGTTCATGGGGCGGTTGGGGCTTGTGGAGGGGTGGTTGCGGGCGCCGTGAGGGGCGCCTCCGCATAGGAGCGATTTTTTTGTGTGTGTGCTGCTGGCTGGTGCGTCTGACACGGGCGCCTGTCCCTGCGCCTGTCCTCCATGCCGCCCATTTCTCACGCCGCGCCGTGGCTCCTGACCGGTTCTTGCACCCTACCCCAAAGGGAGCCCGAGCTAATCACGGACCCGACCGGCACGGGCGCCGGCTGCGTCTTGTGCAAGGCGTCCGACTTCCTGCGCGGCGGGTTCGGCGACCGCACCATCATGATCTGCGACACGTGCGAGAGGGAGTTCCACGTGGACTGCCTGCGCGGGGCCGGGCGCTGCGACCTCAAGGAGGTGCGCGGCTTTCAGTATGGGACTGGCCTGGACTGGCGCAGTCCGGCCCGGACTCGTTGTTGACGAAGGGGGGCGCCAGGCGCGTAGCGTGTCTGCGACCGCCCGCCTGGGCACCGCCAGCCCTTTGCAGCATACGGCCCCTGACCCCGGGCTGTGTCGTCCCAGTGCTGGCACGTGCGCGCACGCACACGCATACACACACACACACACACACACACACACACACACACACACACACACACACACACACACACACCGCCCTCCCCCTGCCTCCCCGCTGATCGTGTGTGCAAACGCCGCAGCTGCCCGCCGGCGACTGGTATTGCAGCTGCGAGTGCGCCGTGCTGCGGGACCAGATCGACATCTGGGTGTCTCAGGCGGACGTGCCGCTCGGGGCAACGCACTCGCTGCAGGTGCGGCCGGCCGCAGCCGCCGCACCCCTGGCCGCCCTCGCCTGCATGTGAACGCCCTCCGCGCGCTCATTCCATTCATCCTGGCTCATGCTATGTGGTAGACACACCCTGGCGGCCACCCATGCAGCGCTGGGCCTGTATCTCTCACCCGTCGCCGCCCTCCGCCGCAGGCCATCCGCGGCAAGGACGGCAGCATTGGCACCAGCAAGAAGCTGGGCACCGCGCTGGACCTGCTGCAGGGCAGCTTTGACCCCATCATGGACGCGGGCAACAGCGTCGACCTGCTGCCGCTCATCGTATACGCGCGGGTGGGGGCGGGACGCTGCGTGCGTATGCGATCGCGCCGCGCTCGGCCCTCCTCTTGGGAGCACCTGGGAATCAATGGGGCCGGGTCGCCGATTGCGCACGCGCAGGGCCGCTGTGCGACCTGCTTGCGTGTGCCTTTGTCGCTGCGTGTGCACCGTCTGCATCAGCCAGCCCGGGCGCCGACGCGGTTGCCGCCGCTCCGCCCCGCGCCCCCCCGCCCCAGGCGTACCGCGAGTGGGACTTCAGCAACATGATGACGCTGCTGCTGCGCCACAAGGGCCGCGCCGTGTGCGTCGCCGTGCTGCGCGTGTTTGGCCCGCAGCTGGCCGAGCTGCCGCTCGTCGCGACGCGCCCCGACGCGCGGCGGCAGGGGCACGCCAAGGTGCTGGTGTCGGCGCTGGAGGCGCTGCTCTCGCGGATGGGGGTGCGGTGCCTCGCGCTGCCGGCGGCGCACGAGGCGGAGAAGACGTGGGTGGAGGGGTTCCACTTTGAGTACATGCCGGAGAAGCAGCAGGAGCAGGTGGGCCTTTTGTGGGGCAGTGGGGCGGCCCTAAGGCACGTTCAGGGCGCAGCGCCACGCAGCAGCGGTTGATGTGCGAGCACGGGTGACATGTAGTCCGAAGCACACATTGAAATTCGGTCTAGTCGTTCGCTCTCTGTCGCTCCTGCACCACGATAAATCCCTTGTCGAATCAAGGTGGCGTTTTTGCAGGGAGCATGTTACCTCCTGCGCTCCTCCACCGGGCACCCCATCGGTGAGGCTGCATCGACGCAGCCACCACCTGCCTGAGCCCTCCACTTGCACCCGCGCGAACCTCCCCAGGTCAAGCGTGAGCTGCGCATGCTTATCTTCCCGGGCACCCAGCTGCTGCGCAAGAATCTGGAGCCGCGCGGTGCAGCGGCAGAGGCGATCTCGCGCGCCGCGGGGGAGCTGCTGATCGCGGAGGCGGCACAGAGGGACGCGTGCCCCAGCCCCGAGCCGCCGGCGTCGCCTGCTGCTGCTGCGGCGGCGGCGGGCGCGGCCGGTGCCACAGCGGCAGCGGACAATGCGGAAGCAGCAGCGGCAGTCGGAGCCGGCGAGACGGCTGCGGCAAACGGGGACGCAAGGGCGGCTGGCGAGGTGGTAGGCGGCGCAGCAGGGGAGGCAGCAGGTGAGGCGGCGGTGGTGCCGCCGGCCACCAGCGGGACAGCAGCAGAGGGCGGCGACGCGCTGGCCACCGCCGCAAACGTCGACGCGGCGTCACCGCCTGTGTTAGGCGAGGGTGGGCCCTCAACTGCTGGCGCGGCGGAGGCTGCGGCCGCCGCGGATGTGGACGCGCTGCAGACGCCACCTGCGGATGCCATGACCGCTGGCGAGGCCGAGGCGACGGCCGGCGCTGCGGCTGAAACAGCTGGACCCACGGCCGTACCAGCAGAGGCTATGGAGGTCGATGCTGCGGCTGATACGACTGCCGAGGCTGCCGCGGCCGTGGTCGATGCAGGCGCGGAGCAGCCAGCAGGGGCGGAGCCGCCAGCGGCACCAGTTGCGTCAAGTCTGGGGCCGGCGGCGGCTGCCGAGGCCCCACAAGTCGATGAGCCTGCTTCCCTGCAGGCAGAGCCGCCCGTCAGAGCAGCAGAGCTCGGCCTGAGCGATGCTATGCAGGTGGACAGCCGCAGCGGGTCAGACCTTGCAACGCCAAGTGGCCAGCGGGAGGAGGGGCCGCAGCTGCAGCTGGTGTCAGAGCAGCAGCAGCAGCAGCAGCAGCAGCAGCAGGAGCAGCAGCATGAGGAGCCGCGGGATCAGCCGCAGGAGGAGCAGGCACACGGGCAGGCGCTGCAGCAGCAGGAGCAACAGCAGCAACAGCAGCAGCAGCACCAGCAGCAGCAGCAGCAGCCGGAGGGGCTGGAGGCTACCGGCGAGCTGCCGAGCCCGCAGGCAGCGCCGGCGGTGCCGCAGGGTGCACAAACAGCAGGGCCCCTGTCAGCCAGCCCGGAGCCAGTCTTTGTATCACCAGCGCCCAGCGAGGGGACGCTGGCTCTCGCCACAGACCAGCAGCAGGCGGAGCAGCAGCTGGGGGAGCAGGCGGGTGTGACGACGCTCGCATTTAAGGCAGAGGCGGCCGCAGCGCCCACGCCTGCTCCCTTGCCAGCCCCAGCCCCGGCCGTCGATGCGGCACCCGCACCCGAGGCGCCGCACGGGCATGCACCAGGGGCGGCGGCCCCTGCCGCGGCGCTCGCAGCGGCCACCGAGGCGGACACGGCGGGGCC